GGTTAAAACTACGTGGCCAGGAGTCGGAGCCATTCAGAATGGAGAGTTTCCCATACCTGGGCAGTGTGCTCATGACCGGCTCTGGTTTGACAGCAGAGGTCTCACTCCGAATAAGTCGAGCAGTATTATCTTTTCATCGATTACGTAACACTATGTTTAAGCTACCTGGTCTGTCGCTCCACACGAAGCTTCAGGTTTTCTCGGCGACAGTCATTCCCTCCCTTCTCTACACTTGCTAAATGTGGACCCCTGTAATGGAACATCTTCGCCGGTTAGAAATATTTAGGCTCGCCTGCCTACGATTCATCCTGGGTTTAATCAGGCTGGATTGTGTAAGGAGCTCACATATCCTTGAAAGATCTGGACAACGTCCCATTGGTGAGCTCCGGCAGGCAAGGCTGCTTTGGCTGCGTCATGTAGCTCGATGCCCAGCCACCGCATGCCGAAACAGCTCTTGTTCGGCCGGATCAAGGGGGCTAAACGGGTGCGGCACGGGCTAGAGAAGAGATGGAGTGATCTGGTACAGGAGGATGTGGAGCAGAGTGGACTTGCCGATGACTGGTACCAGCGGTGTCAAGATCAGCCTCTGTGGAGGAGGCTCGTGAAGGACGCTACTGGGCAGTTTTGAGGCAGTCGCCCTCCAACAACAACGGAGGGCGGAGGAGCGACGCTCACAACAATGAGCGGAGTGCCGGGTGGCTAAAGCACAGCAAGTTGGCACAGTAAGGGGCACAGGTGGTGCATCAGCCAGTCATCTCAGTCATCTCAGTCAGTCGACCTGTGGCACCTGGGTCTGCTCCGTGACCTCCTGCCAGCGGGCGTTCGACACTTCACGTGGCCTCAACGTGCACATGGCCTGGCACAAGCGTCGTGCTGACGTTACCGCCACTTAGTGGCGAATGGCGGTTGTTGTGTTGTTGTTTAAGGATAGTGACTGATGCTACCGCACGCAGCAATGCTATCCCCCCCATAGTGGACACTTGGAGATCCCCTCACGTTAATTCGCAAGAGTAGGCCGTGGTGCCTCCACCGGCGTCACGCTCAGGATTTCCCAGATGGAAAAATATCTGAATATTACTCGATTGGGATTATAAACTAAAACTAAACTTTTTATTTTACCAAGTAATGCCCACTGAGCTACGTAGCTCTTTTTCAGAAGCGACCTGGCTATCACAAATGATAGCCCAATGAAGTGGCTTATCACGTGGACATTTAACGCGGCCAAATACTCGAAACATGTGATGTTGATTCTAGATGTGGAGGGAAAAGCCAGAGGACCCGGTAATAAACCCAAGTGACTACGGGGAGAACTCCAAATATACAGCAGGTGTGAGGGTCGGGATCGAACCACTACCTCCTGTATACCAGGTGGGGGAGTTAACATCTCCCAGCCACCAAGCCTTACTAAATTGGCTGTGTCGGGTGGTGGCGGGTTTCACAACACATTCATATTTACACGATCTAACCCAATAAAAAACCTGTTATGTTCCGTTTACGTGACAAGCCCGTACTAATGGGCTGTGCCGGGTGTTGGCGGGTTTCACGACACATTTATATTTATGCTCTCTCTAACCCCCAAAAAAACCTCCATTTTGAATTAAACGTCCTCTTCTCGCGACGCGATGCCTGGGATTTGCGCGGCTGGGATTGAAAGCGAAAGCAAACAATAACAAAAAATCACAGTTCGTGAATAATTCAAGGATGCGCGATGCTGCCTTCACGAGTTGCTGATGTCAGTCGGTAATTTGCCACTGCTGGGCAAAAGTCTTTTTTTCTGTTCCTCAGCCCATTTTCCACTGCCACATGCAAAACCGTACCAGCGCAGGGCCCTCAAAGTACTGGTAGTTTTTTTCTCCCACTGGCACATCCAAACCGTGCCAGTGCAGGGCTCTCACAGCACTAGTAGTTTTTCCACTGGCACATCCAAACCATGCCCAGTGCAGGGCTCTCACAGTACTGGTAGTTTTTTCCACTGGCACATCCAAACCGTGCCAGCGCAGGGCTCTCACAGCACTGGTAGTTTTTCCACTGGCACATCCGAACGATGCCAGTGCAGGCAGGGCTCTCACCGTACTGGTGTTATTTTTCCTTCCACTGGCCGTTTGCCAAGCCGAGTCAGACCCAATCCGTGACACACACACAAGACATCCGAATCCGGCTCTGATTTCCAAGCAGGGCCAGGGGGTGGGGCTGATGACACATTCGGTTGCGTTGCGACGTTGGAACGCAACGCGCGACTCCACGCAATCGTCTGCGCAATCGTCTGCCGATCATCTTCACCTGTCCGTTATCACGTGCGACGTCGGTTGACACGGCTTTTTCCGCAGCCGGGGACAAAAGACAAAAAAACCAACGAACAACGACGGCACGGCTCAGTTGTGCAGTGGAAAAATAAATGTGCGGCCTGTTCCTGCCCAGTCACGACCTCCGAACTCTGCGACCTCGTCCCGCTGCCGTCGCCATCACCACCTGCTCCGTTTCCTTTCTCTCGGTCGCGACTCCCTCGACGGCTTCATCTCCCTCCCTCTCTCTCGCTCTCTCCTCGTCGGTGGTTGTCGTGACGCGTCCCGCCCCCAATTTCTGCCCGATTTCCCTCTGCCAATTCCTCTGTGTGTCCTTAACGAGCCTCCTCGGTGGAAAATGGCGTGATTTAATTAGCGCAAATATTTACGCTGCGGGCCGGTCTCTCGCTGGACCCGCCCGAGGCTCTGTCTGCGCGCGCGTGTGTGTGCACGCGTGTGTGTGCGCGTGTGTGCGCGCGCGTGTGTGCGCGCGTGTGTGCACGCGCGTGTGTGTGCGCGTGTGTGCGCGCGTCTGTAAGCCGCCCTTAGGGAGACAGTGCTGTCCACCGTGTCTGTCTGTGTGTGTGTGCGCGTGTGGATAGGGTTTAAAGGGAGCGGCGGCGCTACAAACCCAGCGACCCAAATTCAATTCCCGCTCACGGCTAACACCGGTGACGAATATCTGAACCTGTCCTGGGCCTCCCCTAGGTCGACTCAGCCCCCAAATGAGCACCTCGTGCGGTGCGTAAAAAAATCATCGCCGCTGGGGAGACAAAGGCGGCCGGGCGTGGCATAGGCCACCCGACGCCCCTTGTGTGGCGTGCCGGACTTCATAGGCGCTACTTGCTGACATCACTGGCGCCAAACGGTCTGTTCAGGCTACACGGGGGGGGATCTTTGGATCAGGTTGCCACCTGTGTCCTGGCTTTCCCAGGATCGTCGTCTCGTTGACGCGGGGCAGCGGCTGTCCGGACAAACGCCCTTAAGTCTTTCCAAGACATTGAACACTAACGCCCTCGGATTTTTTCGTTGTGTGACGATATTAATAATAATAACACGACACTGGGGAACAACGACGGCACGTTCCGTTCGCTATTCAGCGGTCGCCGGTTCAACCTCCCGGCGCGGCAGTTGAAAGCAAAGTTTATTAAATCTCCCCCCCCCCACCCAACCCACACCACCACCGGTGGGGTAAAAAGGGGATAACCCACCGCCTCTTCCTGGACGCCTGGGCCAGCGCGGAAGATTAGGCCAAATACCCTCTCGGAGATGGGGTTTCCTCTCTGGTTGAGCGGTGAGCGTCCCAGCCGGCCGAGCGGCGAGGCGTCTTTAAGAAAAGGGAGGATGATAGCGTCACACCGCCCGTGGCGGTTGTCTCCGACCGTACTTCACCGCACCCGGGCAGCGCGTGTCGCTGGTGAAGCCGCGGCGGGCAGGCGGGCCGGAGGGTTTGTGAGCAATGCACGGTGTCGCTCGTAGCTGGTGTTGGGCCGTGGCCAGGCATCGAGCTCGGTGACTGGCCCGGTGACCCGGTGACCCAGTCGCTGGGCTAGCCACCACTCCCTCTAATGATAACAACAAGAGGCGTTGACGATGACGACAACAACAACGAGCTGTATTTAAATCACTCTGGGGGTGGTGAGTGCACCATGCGCTCGAGTGGTGAGCGGCTCTTCTGGTTTAGTGGCGAGTGTTTTAGCTTGTTAAGTGATGTATCTGGTCGAGCGGTGGGTGATGATGTGTCTGGTCGAGCGGTGAGTGATGTGTCTGGTCGAGCGGTGAGTGATGTGTCTGGTCGAGCGGTGAGTGATGTATCTGGTCGAGCGGTGAATGGTTTATCTGGTTGAGCGGTGAGTGATGTATCTGGTCAAGCGGTGAGTGATGTATCTGGTCGAGCGGTGAATGATGTACAGTGAGGGAAAAAAGTATTTGATCCTCTGCTGATTTTGTACGTTTGCCCACTGACAAAGAAATAATCAGTCTATAATTTTAATGGTAGGTTTATTTGAACAGTGAGCGACAGAATAACAACAAAAAAACATGAGGAAAAACGCATATCAAAAATGTTATAAATTGATTTGCATTTTAATGAGGGAAATAAGTATTTGACCCCCTCTCAATCAGAAAGATTTCTGGCTCCCAGCTGTCTTTTATACAGGTAATGAGCTGAGATTAGGAGCACACTCTTAAAGGGAGTGCTCCTAATCTCAGCTTGTTACCTGTAAAAAAGACACCTGTCCACAGAAGCAATCAATCAGATTCCAAACTCTCCACCTGCCTGCAGAACGTCACGTGGCCCGCGATGGCCTCGCGCCCGTGAGGACGGCACGGCCACCGAACGCGCGCGTGAACTTGCCGGCGCCGGGTTGAGGCGGCGCTGTAACTGTGGGGCATGTGGCGATCATTCTCGGTCCCAAGCAGCCGAGATCGACTCCTGGTTGTGCCGCGCCAACCCCCCACCCACCCCCCCCCCACCCCCTCTAGGTCGACTCAGCCGAAACTGAGCCGTGGCAACGAATGTGTGCGCGGGCATGAATCGGCGCGGCGAGCGGGGTGAAGGAGGAGCGGGCGACCGGGCCCGTGGGCGCGGCGCTCGCCTTCTCGATGGCGAGCGAGCGTGCGAGCGTGCGTGCGTGCATGGCTCGCCGGCCTCACTAGGTGCCCGCAAACGCCACCCGCATCCACAGTGCACCTGTGTCTTCTCTCGTCTGCGTGCAGGCCTCGGCAAAGGAGGTGTCGTTTGGACCGATCCGACTGCTGCAGGATCCGATTCAGGTGGGACGGGGCATTTGCGTGCGTGCGTCTGCGTCGGTGGGGAGCGGCGGCGCAGCGGTTAGCGCACTGCGCCTCGAACCCGGCACTGCGATCCGCGAGCCCGGCGACCCGAGTTCGATTCCCGCTCGCGACCAACGATGACTCGGTCTTAAATGAGTACCAGGTACGATCAGCACTTGGGATACAAAGGCAGCCGGGCGTGGGGCTGGCAACCCACCCTCTCATGCGCCATGCCGGCCTTCATGTGGGTGCTGCTCGCTAGCAGCACTTGTCTCATAATTCTCTTAAGGCTATATGCGGGGGATCTTTGCCTCTGCGTGTCTGTGGAGTGTAATATCTGAGATCGGAGAGATGTGGGCAGGAGATGGAGCTGCAGAGAGCTGAGAGAAGGGAGATGCAGATGAAAGAGATGCCGTGAGGTCCGGGAGAATGCAGACCGGCGCTGCATAGATGGCGGCGATTAATCGGTTTGTTTACATTAATTATCTCGTCCGTGGTTAGTTGGATTTTCAATTCGGGGCTTAGTATTGTTGCATCTCTCCCTCTGTCCGTTGTTTTTTTTATATCATGAATTTGGGGGGCCACCCCCTTTGAGCTCGTTGGGCTTTGCCCCCCCCTTCCCCGCCCCCTCCCCTTTGCTCTCCCCACCTGTCGTGGTCCACTGAGCGTTCACTAGTTTGTTTAGTTAGTTAGTTGTTTTATTTAGTTGATTTTATCCAGTTTTTTATTTAGTTCGTTAGTTATGTTTTGTGTAGTTCATTTTACGTAGTCGATTTCGGTGAGCTCGTGAGCGCTTCCCCCTCGGCTTATTGAGGATTTTGAGCCAGGTGGCCAGGATTGGGCGAAGAGCGAAACGCGGCGGCCGACTTCGTGACGACGAAACTGACGGGCAGCACGGGCTAAAGTGTAGCGAGCCGCGCATTAAAAGCAACGATGAGATGCAAGCGCATCACTCGCCTGTGCCCCTTCGCCGGCTCCCCGTCCGTACCTCCCCCCCTCCGCTCCGTATTGATTTTAAGATTTTGTTAGGCTGGCATCCAAGGCCTTAAATGGACTCGCTCCTCCCCCTATGTTCATGGCCTCCTTCAGCCACGTATATTCCATCAAGTGTCATTAAGATCCTCCGATTGTGCACCGCTCACTGTCCCCACGGTCTCTGGGCTCTACACACTCGGGGCGGTGATGGCGCCTTTGCAACTGCGGCACCGAAACTATAACTCTCCTTCCCCCTTCGAGGTCAGGGGACTTCCGAGACACTTGGCAATTCTTCAAATCTCGACTAAAAATCGCATCTGTTTTAAAATAGCTTTCTCTCGCTTGAGTTCTTTTCAACCGCCTTCCTCACGTCTTGTTGTTCTTCTTTCCTGAGTTGACGTGAAACTATTTCCCGCACTTTCGATGCATAGCGACCCTGAGAACGATTGTTTAAGGGCACTTTATAAATATAAATTATTATTATTATTACAGAGACAAACAACATTATATAGACTGCTAGCTTTACTAATACACGGCTTCGCCCGGAACTTAGATTCTTGTCTTGGATTAATACACTGCCTACGCGGAGGGTTGGGGGGGGATGCGTGACGTCAGCAGGCACACTGCGTGACGCTGCCGCGTGCGGGTGACATCACAGATGTGACGTCACCGCTCACTTGCCGTGGAAAATATATCCATTATTTCCCCCCCCCCCCCGCCCAAAATACAAAAGTCTATTTTTATACTTTTTGTATTGTGTACAGTCTGGAAGCTACCCACAAGCCAAATTTTAAGTTTGTTGCATGTCGGGAAGTATGCTAGACATTTCGAACAGACACACACATTCACAAATTTCCCTTTTATCTATATAGATTGAAAGGAATGAAACTTCATTGCCAGTACCAAAATATGAGAATACATTTTTCCCCTTTTTTCTGGCAACAAAACAGTTGTGTTAAGATGTTAAAACACCAAACTGAAACCTATTGCAAGAGGAATCACGTCTGCATTCACCACAATACTTGTGGTCAGAATGCAAACAAAAAAAAACACACTCTGATAATATATGTGGCATTGTCTTTGTAACTGATTGGCCCACACCAGAGACAGCTTTCTTTTGAGCCTCGTCTCACAACGGTGTTAGACCAGAGGAACGCCTCTGGTCTAACACACCTTGCCACCTTGGCGTCCCAAGTACAGCACATTGATCTGGGCGAGGGCTGCCTAACAAAAAAAAAAAAATTCCCTTGGGGTGATTACATTTTTTTTTATTTGGACCATATAAAATTTCGCGAATGAACGGGACAGAGCTCCTGCGGAAGAACGACGGAGGTAGCACTTGCACAACTGGCGGTGGAACTGACGCACGATCGTCCCCTCGGCGGAGAATTCGAGGGGGCCGTGTTTACGCGTTGGGTTAAAAAAAAAATAATGATGCCGCTTTTGTTTTTATTATTTCTTGTCTATATATAAAAAAAAGTGGTGTCCGTGGTCACGGGAAGTGGCCTTCTCCCGGTTGTTTACAGGAGAGAGGAGGCGCGCACGCTCTCGCTCGCACGTACACCAGCACGCGACCGCCTCCGCGTGCGCGCCCTAGCAGGCGCCCGCGGTTCGATGCCCGCGCGCCGAACCGCACGCGTGCGTACAACAACAACAACAAACAGCAGCGACAACAACAACAACAACATTAAACAAACAGCGGCGACAACAACAACCGCCGCTCGGCCGCGTTTCGCCGCCGAGCGGCGTGTTTGGCGTCACCACGGCGCTTGTGCCAGGCTAGGTGCACGTTGAGGGCGTCGCGCTAAGTGGGGGAGGCTCTCTGCGCTGGCAGGAGGCCGCGGGGCCGACCCAGGTGTTACGAATTAAATTACGTGCCAGGCTAGGTGCACGTTGAGTCCGTCGCGCGAAGTTGGGGAGGCTCTCTGCGCTGGCAGGAGGTCGCGGGTCGGACCCAGGTGTTACGGATCAACTGGACTGAGATGGTTGGCAGATGCGCCACCTGTGCTACACACTGTGTCAACAGGCTGGCACAGTTGGCATACGCGCGTGCGTGTACAAACACACACACACCAACAATAACAAAGCTGCCGTTCGCCACGGAGTGGCTGGAACGTCACCATGACCTTTGTGAGTTCGGGAAGGCTCGCTGCTGGCAGGAGGTCACGGGACAGACTCAGGTGCCATGGTGTTGGCCGACTGAGATGACCGGCAGAGGCACCAGCTGTGCCGGCACTCCCCCCCCCCCCCCCCCCCCCCCATTACAGTGCCACCTCGCTGCGTTTTATCCGCCCGGCGCTCCGCCCGTTGTTGTGAGCGTCGCCCTTCTGTGCCCCTCCGCTGTTGATGCTCTCATCTCTCCTCACTGTCAGGAGCCAGGTCTCCGTCACGAGCGGGCTCTTCAGCTTCGGTGCTTGGCACCGTTATATTCATGGGGGGCGCCTCCCAGTCTATCTTGCTCGAGGGTGCTGTGGTGCTGTGGTGTAGCGGTGGAGCTCGGCAAGGTGAAATAAAGGAGGCCCACGTGGTGTGTGCGTTGCTCCCGGGGGGGGGGGGGGCACTGTGGATCCTCCTTCGGGTTCCTGTCAGGCACGGTTAAATCAAGGATGCCGTCGGGGGCGGAGGCGGAGGAGGGGAGACCACCACCCCCTATTGGGGGTTCGGCACTGTTTACGTTTGTAACGGTGGGGGGGGGGGAGGGGGGTTATTAAAGGAAGACTGCACCGGACCGAAATGAAGGGACGCCACGTGGTGTCCACTGCACCCCCCCCCCCCCCCCACGTGCTCCAGTGCTGGGGTTAAGTAAAGGGGGCGCTCCCTCGTGGTGTCTCCGCTGCGAGGCGGGGGAGCGTCCCCACCCTGTCGGCTGGACAGGAACCCAATGATATTTATTCCCCAGGCAGTGAAGTCGGTCAGCCAGCCGGGACAGCTGCCACTCGGCTGGTCAGTCATTTGCGCAGTCGGGTCAGTCGGATTGGTTACCATGCGAGCCAGTCAATAGGAGATGGTGCGGCGGGGGGGGGGGGGGGCGCATGGGGTCAAAGGTCACGAGCCGCACGCGTTCGGTGTTTGTTGTGCCGTTGCCATGGCGGTGACCGGGCCGGGTGTAGGGGGAGGACGCAGGAAGACACACGGGGTGGAGGGGACACGAGGAGAAGGGCGCTGGGGTGTGCGTGCGTGTGTGCGTGTGTGTGTGGGGAGCGGTGTTGTAGCGGTTAGCGCGCTGCGCTATGAATCCGGCGACACGGGTTCGATTCCCGCTTACAGCCAAACAGCCAGTGACGATTTATCTGAACCGGTCCTGGGCCCTCCCTAGGTAGACTCAGCCTCAAATGAGTACCTGCTGCGGTGTGTAAACATCGCCAATGGGGAGACAAAGGCGGTCGAGCGTGGTACTGGCCACCCACCCCCTCGTGTACCGTTCCGGCCTTTACAGCTGCTCGCTAACAGCACTTGCCCCTACAGTCTGTTAAGGCTACACGGGTGATCTTATTTTGTGCGTGCGTGGGAGTGCGTGTGCGCTGGGGGAGCGGTGGCGCAGTGGTTAGCACTGCGACGATCCGGGTTCAATTGCCGGCCACGGCGAACACCGGTGGTGAACCAGTCCTGGACCTCCCTTAGGTCGACTCGACCTGAAATTAGCACCTGGTACGTGAACGTGAACACCACCGGGCGGGGTGTTGATCACCCACTCCCGCCGCGTGCCGCGACGGCCTTCATAGGTGCCGCCGCTGCTCGCTAACGGCACTCGCCCCGACAGTCTGCTCCGGCTCTCCGTGGGGAAGGGGGGCGGTCGTGGTGGGCGGGGGGGGGGGGGGGCCCTTTGTGTAGCACGTGACCCCGCGCGTCCTGGCGTTCGTTACAGTCGCTCGGGGTGATTGTTCGGTGACCCTGGATCCCCAGACGAGAGACGTGCGGGCGACAATGGCGCCGGAGCAGCTGGACGTACGAAGGCACAGGGCCAGGCCGGTGCCATCGGCAGACAACGGTCGGAGGCCTTTCGATTCCTGCTCGGCTTGCAGCCC